CTTCCCTCGACCTGCTGGAGACGCTTTTCTTAATGCACCCCAGGATCCCGTTGGCCTTCTTGGCCACCAGGGCACACTGCTGCCTCATGGTCAACTTGTCGTCCACCATGACACCCAGGTCCCTCTCTGCGGGACTGCTCTCCAGCAGGTCCACTCCTAATCTGTACTGGTGTCCAGGGTTATTCCTCCCCAAGTGCAGGACCTTGCACTTGCCCTTGTTGAACCTCATGAGGTTTCTCACCGCCCAGTCCTCCCGTCTGTCCAGGTCCCTCTGGATGGCAGCACAGCCCTCAGGGCTATCAGCTACTCCTCCCAGTTTGGTATCATTGGCAAACTTGCTGAGGGAGGACTCCAGCCCTTCATCCAGGTCGTTAATGAATAAGTTGAACAGGACCGGACCGAGGACCGACCCCTGGGGGACACYGCTAACTACAGGCCTCCAGCTGGACTCCGCAGCACTGACTACCACTCTCTGCACCCTGCCATCGAGCCAAATATCGAAGTATGTTTTGAGTCTGACATACTTTATGGAAGGTAAAGAAAATGGCAGGGTTGATCGAACTATGTCACAGATATATTCTCACCAGTAAGAGAAACACTGAAGTGCTCCCTCCCTTCTTCAAATGTGGGATCAAGCAAAAGAAAAGGTTTCCATCACTGTATGTTAAAGCATTGCTGAAACTAGCTGGACTTGCAATTTTGGGGGGGGGCTGGAATTCAGAAATATTAAAGAAAAATTAAGATACATCTCTGCAAAATTTGGTCCAAGTTGATACAAACAAGTATCACAGACAGTGAGTGTTAAAGGAAATGATGTATCACATCAAAGGAAAATATTGTTTCTCAGCTGATAACTTAAGAATTGTGCAGATACCTAGGAGTTTTGTGTGATTTACTAAGATAAAACTATTCCCTAGAGAGAATACTATTTGAATAGAAATATTGTAGAAGATCCATTAGGAGGTCTTACTATCATCAAAAAAGATTCCGAGGTTCAAGACTCCTCGGAAACTCAAGCTGAAATCGACCTCCACTCCACTATCATGTTTAGACATGATAGCARTAGCGATAGAAAATATTCAGATTGGCGGTAACATCTGAATGTGGTGTTGGGACCTATGTCTTGGGGCTGCAATCAGAATGACAATACATTTACACACACTGTTTTGGTACAAATTCCCTTTTTAATATATATTTCTGATAAGTCTTTTGCCAAAGTGTTAAGTTTGGTGCCCTGATGGCCCACTCCACTCACAATCACAGAGTAAATCAATTTGGAAGGGACCTCAGATGCTTCTGGTCCCACTTTGTGCTGAAAGCAGGAGCAACCTCCAATTCAGACCAGCTTGCTCAGGGCTTTGTCCAGTTGGGTCTCACAAACTTCTCACATGCTTATGTAGGCAACAAGATCACGRTTTCTTTCAGTGCCTTGGAAGGATAGTGAAATGATGGAGGGGGTAGTGAGAGGAACAAGGATATTTCTGTATTAGAGCCATAGGACCAGCAACCAAGATTCTTTCTTCTGACACATTTTTTTTTCAATGATACTAGGTAAAATGGATAACAGTAGGCATGTATAAAGAGATTGCAGTTAATGTTGCACTGACAATCTTAATTCTGGTATTTCCAAAGTTTGATAGGGTTTAGGGTTTAATCTTCCAGTCTATATGGCTTTTTTTTTTTTTTTTTTTTTTTTTTTTTAATAATATATCTTTTTGTCCTGTAGGATCCCAAAGCGCTTTTCATGTTACACATCTAGATTATTAGACTATTCTATCTAGCCATAGACTATTCTTATTGAGACCAATAGATATTTTGCCACTGATTTCATTTGGGCTAGGATTTGGCTCTGTAGAAATACAAGTAATTCCGTAGGTCCATTGACYTTTAATAAATTCTGGTTTCCCACCTGAGCAATAAATCTGCCAGCAGGAGGGGAGAACAAACTTTAGTGTCTCTTACTGAAGGTTTCAATTTAGACTTCATAAGATATCAGTAGGCACAGAGACAGTTGCTGTACAAATGTAATAGCATAATTTGGAATAGCATAATTTGGAGATGGAGATGAACATTGCACTATGTGGTATGTGTGGTTATGTTGTGTATGTATAATCCATGTACATACAGCAAAGATATACATACATTTTTAAATCACTTAACAGAAGGACTGCTCTAGTGTTGCATAATCTGAAATTCTGGAACATTTTTGCTGTCTTACGTCTGCAAAAGTTTTTCATTTAGGAACACACACGTTTCTTGTCAATGTTATTTCTACAGTCACTTAGCTGAGAGCAGGGCATATTGTTCTCTGAATTTCTTGTTAAAATGTTTCACTTAATTAAACTTTTACAACCAGTTCTGCTCTATGTCTGATACTTGCTGTAAATTACACAGAAAAGCCCCTCTGGCATTTATGAGAATTCAGACGATGAAGACTATAGGGGGAAACAAAACAAAAAAAAGAACAAAAAACCAAAAAAAAACAACAAAAAAAGCAATGTCAGTGAGTCCCAGATAGCTGCTCATTCCCTGTTATCTCCCACACAATTCAATTTAATGAAATATATTATTTCTTATTATATAAACTAGACTTAAAAAGTGGCCAGAATGGAACTACCAATTTTTAAAATGAATATGGCACCAAATTTTCACATTATGTGGACAAATATAGTTAAAATTCAGTGGAATCTTAAAGAAAAAATGGGGAAAATGTGAATTTAAAGTTACATTTAATTGTACATTCTTGTGGCACACACATATGGTACGCATGCAAGATACACCCATTCCTAAGTCAAAACTTTACAAGAGTTTCTCAAAGGTGCTTCAGATGACATCTCTGGCATGGGGATTTAACAGCAGTTAAGTTACAGCAAATTTAGGGATTTTTTTGAAAGCAATGTTGTGTTTCCAGGCACTCCCCTAACCAGCTGTCGAAAGACTGCAAAATGGGGGTCACATCCATTACAGAATTGTGAGCTTTGATCCAATTGGCGTCATTGCTGCTCTGAGACTTGGAAATTTCCTCTAACCTCTAACCATAGTTCAGTGTGTAAACTATTGTGTCGCTCTTGGGCAGCTTCACTTTTGCCAGGCAGAGCCAATATTTATGCTCTTTGGCATATTTATTATTCAATTAACTCATTCTGTGTAAATCCTTCAGAATTTATAACCCTCCCAAGAGCTAAGCATGATGGACAGAAATAAATAGCCATGAGGGGGAAAACAAAAGAAAACAAAAAATTWAATCTCCCTCACTCTCTTCTCCTGTAACTTGTATTTTTTATCGTCTTTTGTTTCATCGGATTGTTTGTCTTGATGGAGGGAAGCAAGAGCTGGACTGTGTCTGAGAAATCTGGTTATGGTTAAACATTTGTGAAATTCGTGGAAAAGAGTTGTGCAATTCGACATCAAATAAAGATCAGATGACCCATAGGCCTGAGTCTCCTTGTGAATGAAGGTGAAAGGGCTCAGTAGCCAACGACTTCGTTTGGAAACTCAGTAGAACAAGTAAAAATGGGTTTTTGTGTCTCTGGTTCCTGGGCAGGGTGTCACACGCAGACTACTATATTTAGAATGAAAACAAAACAAACAAACAAAATCCCTCTTTTTTACAGTTCATACTGGTCTGATGCATCTCTTTCTCTGAGAACTATTGCTTTACTGAATACCCTGACAACTCTGGATCTAAAGAGAGAACTGATGCTACTGTACTTTCTAAGAGAAGCCTGCGCCCTGACATCTAAATAGATATGGGACTACTACTGTGCCTGATTCTTGGTTTGGGGGTTAAATAAGCTCATCAGAAAAAACATCCTTCATGATGGACTTTCCTCTGGTAATAATACTATCTGAGAATAGGCAGGTCAAAGTTGTGCACCCAACTTGAGCCTAGATCTTGCTAGAACTGAGGAATCTAGCTTGGGAATGAGGAACATCATTGATTCACAAGCCTAATGCAGCATTGGGGTTTCCTGTTTCCAGGAGATGAGCTAGCATATTTGTGCGGTGCTGCTCTATTCTTGAACAGAGATCTGCTCCCACAAAACTCACTYAGGTTATTTGTAAACCCATGCTCCGTTGCTTCATGTACTTAGCTAATCATGTCATGAGATGAAATCAGACTCTAAAAGATSATGGTTGCATGAAAACAGATGAGATAGATAATTATGGCTTCATTAACAAGAAAGCAAAAAAWAATATTCCAGAGGGTTAAAGAGTTTATTGTAAAAGAGGCAACATTATTTCAGCCTCACAAGGCCTTTTTCAAGGAATAGTTATATGCAGCAGCTGAAAATGAATGTGAACAGCTCCTCACATTTTGCAGTCGAAAGAAGTCCCATTTTGTGAGTGAATTCTGAAACACTATTTAAATTAAGCTTTAAATTTGAAAATTCATTTATAAATGAGGTCTAGTCCATAGTCTTAGGGACTGAGGGGAAAGCTTTTTTTAACTCCTTTCATATTCAGTGATGTCAGTGAAACTTTAACAATTAACTAAACCTATGATAATTACAAGTTAGATATTTTGATGTGAAACCAGAAATATCACTGGAAAACAGCGGAGAAAGTCCTGCATTTCAGAATTATAAGTTAGCCAGGAGGAAACAATCCATCTGAAGTTCTTAGCATAGTATCCTGTAAATAGATACATATGTAGATTTATCTGTTTTTAGAATAACATTGTTTTTATCTGTATTTTTTCCAGAAGTTGGACTTCCATATAGTGATATTCTTTTTTACTTTTTGGTATTTCCATAATTCTTTCTTTTTTTCTTCCTTTTTATTTATTTATTTATTTTTATTTTTTTGTGAATGTTCTCTTCTTCTTTCTCTCCCAAATTTATCTATGAAGGTACTTCTATTCCAGGAAATAGGTGTGTTTCCAAGTTGTTCTTCATCTGGCTTATGAATGTGACCTTTACCTTAGAACTTGTTTATATTGTGTATTCCATAGTTTTTCTGACTATTTACAATATGTATTGCACATTATTCACTTGATCCAACACACAGGGAAATCAATACAAGACTTCCATTGACCTTAACAATTGTTGGATTAAGCTGTATGGTCTAAGTAAAACTGCCTGCAATAAATGACACAAAAATGTAATAAAGAATTCATTTATTGAGTTATTAAGCTTATTAAAATAACCTACTRTAGATTATTCTGTTTTCATTTACAAATTCAGATTCAACAGTATCTACCTGAAGTTCCAATATGCTGATTGCTGTTATCTTTAAATACTGTGGTACAAACTCATTATTTTTCCTTTTTTCTGCATGTCCATTCAGGTCTTCAGGTGCTCCTTTATTTTTTCCACAATCTGTTGAAGACTCAGTTGCTCAATGGCAAGTTGTTCGTCAATAAATCTTTGCATTTCTTCCCATTTCCTAGAGCCTTGTTCAATGCCTTGTTGAATCAGTGTGCGTGTTAGTTCCACTTTTTTTCTGAGTTCCTCTCTGCTTTTTTGTGGCACTTGGTAGATGGACTCCAAATCAAATGGCTTTGGCACATCTATTCTGAGCTCTCCTTGACGAACAGCTATATATGGTTTTATGGTGTTTGCTGTCATTTGCTCTAACCAAYGAATAAGCTTAGAGATATATTGCAGCAATGCAGAGTAATTTTCTATAGTTAGATCAATTAATTTTTTTGCCTCACTAATTAGCTTTTCTTGGGACTGACTAAGTTGCCAATACATCTCCTCAAGTTTTGCTTTGACTTGTCTGTTATATTCATTAATTTTCCTTTTAGCAACTGTAGACCAATATCGGATTTTTTCCTGGGCAGCAGATGAGAGCTCCATGACTTTCTGTTTTCCTTTTTCTTCARCATCAGCAATAAGGTCATAATATTCCTGACTGTATTTTTCCACTRTATCTCTTACTTGTTCGGTCACTCGTGTAACTGAGTCAGCAAGATCGCCAACATAATTCTTGTGCCAATCCACCAGTGTATCTATGAGATTCTTCAGCCATCCTAGTACTTTGTCTTCCACTTCATAGTATTTAACTGACCATCCAAGTGCAGTTGGATCAAAATATTCCTCCCGCAATGCTTTTACATACATAAGCAGCTGGTGCAACTTTTCTGAAAGTTCCTGGACTGTCTTTTGGCTAAAAGCTTTCAACTGAGAAATGTATTTTTTAACATCTACAGCCAATGATCTCAGTTTCTGTGCATAGTCTGAAGCCATTGCATCTCTGTACAGCTGTTGTGTTTGGACTTTGATGTCTTCAAAATTTTTGGATTGCAAACTTCTAATCATTTCTTCTGCCTTTTGGAAAATTTGTTGCACTCTTTGCTTCAGCTGCTTAAGCTTTCCTGCAAAATCAGCTTCCTGGAGAGTAGCAAATGTCTGCCTGATTTTTTCCTGCAGTTGTTTCAGCATTTTTTTAATGTGATCAAGTACATTACGGCCTTTGAGAATTGTTTCAGAAGAAGGAACTTTCACTTCCAGTTCGTTTATAGCTGCAATCAAAGCATCAAAGTACTCTTGAAGTTTTGAAAGACATAAATCAGCAGTTTTTGCCGCCTTCTCTGTAGTTATGAGGTACAATTCTTCACCAGTGTACTTCTCAGTCAGCCCAGGGACCTGGAATTTTGTGATCTTCAGGAATTCAATGGCAGAGTCAATTAGGTGCTTTATCTTTTTGTGGTATTCTTCTATTATGTCAATGGTAGCATCCAAAAGCTTTGTTTTTATTCTTTGGTAGTCAAACTTCTCGGCTCGATCTGCTGCTCTTCGATATAGCTGTCTGGCTTTGACCTTCATCTCCTGATATTTGCCAGAGGCCTCACTGGCAGCTGTGCGAAGCTGATCATCTAGTGCATCTATTTCTTTTACAGCAAATGTATATGCTTTGTCAGCATTGTTCTGCATTATATTCTTCATCTTCAGTGTGGCAGAACTGATATCCATTCCCATATGCTCCTTATAATACCGATTAACACAGTTATAGACTGCAGTTGTCATTCTAGGTACCTTTTCTTTTAGACCCAAGAGCAAGTCTTTGGCAGCATCCTCTTTCCAATTTAATTTCATTTGAATCAGGTCCGCTTTCTTGAAGGATATCTCACTTTTCAATATGTCAATGTCCTTTTGAGGAGCAGACTGAAAATATAAAATGAGATAATCAAATTAAGCATTATCTATAAAAAGTATATTTCAATATTTGTGTATTCCTTTAATTTTATGATACTCTTAGGCATGTACACTATGAATCATTTTTGTCTGCTGTACATTTGCTCCCATACTGAAAGATTGTTTTGAAACAAATACTGTTGTACTTTGCTGCTACTTTGTGCCTCTTTGAAGAGCAGGATCAGTGTATAACTTAATCTACTCTTTCTTTATGTGAATGCAAAGAGTTTTCCTTCCTTCGCATTAAAGGCCTATGATGTCTGATAAGGCATGTGAATTACTTGGGAAAATGCTCCTTCTTTGATTTTTGAAATCACTTAAGGTGAATTAAGTAAGTATTTCCTAATATGAAAACATTAGAAGATTTCACTTAGCAATCACTTAAATCAATGAGAATTTAGTGCGAGAGTAACAGTAAGAAAGGTTCCTCAAATTAGCGCCTATTTACAAAAATGAATTTCCCAGTTCTCAGTTGTAAACAATGGATTATGACTTATTTGTGACACAAAATTAATACAACATCTTGGAAGCTAAGCTTTTAATTCTGAAATTATTGTAGTATGCCAATAAAAATATATTTGCTGATATAATAGCAAATCTAATACATTTTTTCCTATCATAATGTACTGTGATATATTAATAGGGTTATAAAAAAGGCACTCTGTAGATGGTCTGACCTCTTCCAGTGGCTTGAATCCTACAAGAGCTATTTTTTAAGTAACTGCAATTAGTCTGATGGATGTATATAATCTAAAACTAGCTGTTTCCTGTTCGTTCACTTTCAGTGGGCCTGTTTTCTCATCATAGGAGAGAGTAACTGTTTGGAGAAGATGAAATAGGATTTTCAGAGACATGTTACTTTTAGTARCGGTTAAGATCAGTTTAGGAAAGAAAAACTGCTCTTAATCATAATATATTTTCACTTTGGACAATGAGTGCCTAAACTGTTTTGTAAAATAAACACGTGTATGTATCCTATCCTCTGAGCAGTCCCAACCTTATTGCTTTTTATTGCTCATATCAAACTCACCCGAGTTCGGTAGTAAATTTTTGCCTTCAGAATGTCAGTGTCAGATTCAATGAGATAACCCAAGGTCCCAGCAGAGGGTGAAGATATTGAGGCAGCTGTCCTGCTCTCAGTGCCTTTACAACGCATGTGAACATCAGTAAATGTTGGGCTGGTGATGTCGAGTGATGCAGTGCCATTCACAAGTCTAAAGTAACCACAAATAAACAGCTATTAATGAAGGCACAAAGAAAGAACAAGTCCTAAAGAAGTACATAATGCACTATACCTAAATATAATAAACTTAAGGTTTTTAAAATATATACATAAGGAAATAATGCCTTAGTCATCAAAAGAAAATGCAGGGTTTTACTATCCACGTTTCTGAAGATCTAGCCTAACACATTCAAAACTTAAGGACACTCCAGCTTTCCTATTTTAGTTAATACTGTATTGAGATCTGTAAAGAATTTTCATTAAATCAGGATATCAAAACAAAGTCTGTAGCTGCATCACTGTCAGCTTTCTATGGATTTCTACAAGCTGACTTCCATTTCTTCCATGAGCAGTAAATTGCATCTGCATTTGCCCTTCCTTTCTCCAATTCCATTCCTTGGATACAGTAACACAACACTGGAGGATCAAAACAGACAGACATCCATCTCTGTAGCCCCTAGTAATAGCACTTGTGAAAAGAAAAAAAATCACAGAACCACGGAATGGTTAAGGTTGGAAGGGACCCCTAGGAATCATCTAGTCCAAACTCCCTGCTCAAGCAGGGACAATCCTTAATGACCTGTGTTGATAGAAATCTCCAATGAAAACTATGTTGATGGTCAAATTTAGAATCACTCTGATTATAAATTTTTTTTCTTTATCTTATTCTTTAGGATAAAGAATTTTAGGATAAAGAATCTTTAGGATAAATTATTCAATATTCTTTATCTTATTTTTTATTTCTATGAAATAAAGCTTCTGAGAAAAGTTATTCTGCGGATGCCGAGAGTAAATGGTTTTCCAGCTATCTGGGTGGAGAACAAGTCCCGCCTAATAGTGAAAGGGTAGCCACATAGGTTGTTGTTAATTGCAGCAAACTACTCTGGGGTATTAGAATTAAAAAATCAATGCAAAATTTGTGATTTTGTCCATGATTAATGACATTATAATCACAAGTATTTACCTAATTCCTCGGGCAAAAGYTTCTTCCTTGTAGGTTGCACTCATGTCACGATGTGAAAAGCTGCCAACTGTCTTCACAACAATCATGTCTCCTTCATATTTGTAGTTTGACAGAACTATAAAAAAAACAGTTGTGTATATTTATAGAATTTATCAGAAAACAATATTAAATACATGTCCAGTTTTGTGTTAGGTGGCCAGGTGTGAGGTGTTTTAGTAATACATGAAATTATGCATCAAATAACCAGCTGCCCATAATGCACCAAATAAAATGGCATAGATATGTTTGTACTGAGTACTTTAGTATTCAGTTTTGCACTATTCTTAGAATAATATTTTGCATGCAGATCATAAATGGAGTTTCTGATTTCCTGAGAGTTTGTACTTGACATATACTTTTATAATTCTAAAGCCTAAAATTTGATATCATATGCTGCTGTGGAACTCCTGAGTTTTCTGTGTTGAGATTATTTTCAAAATGAAATATACTTAGTTTATAAAGAAAAAGATTGGTATTTTTTTACCTCTAAACTGAATCTAGTGCCAGTCAGACTGTTTTTCCTCCCTCACATTTATCATCGTACGTAATGAGGGATTCTTTCTGTGCAATTTGAAGAAAGCAACAGATAGACAGAAAAGGAAATTTTCTTTGATTTTTTTTTCAGAGTATGCCACTAACTATGCCACTAACTATGCATATACCTTGCTATTAACTCTCTGACTGAGACTGATTATACCTTTCAAAACAACGCTGTGGATATTAAAAGTAGAAGTTCAGTCTAATGTCAGTGCTAAATAGGGRGCAGCACCTTCATATGCAAAGTAAGTCCTAGGGAAAAAAACAGAATATAACATACAATATTTCCCCTAAAAATGTGTGATAGCGAATATAAGCTGTCTTACCACTCAAGTCATACTCCAGRAACTGTAAGGTTGAGCTGCAGGTAGAATCAATGGATTCCTGAAAGGAGTCTGTTTTATTTCTTAATTCTGTTCTCCAGGTGACATTGTACAATGGTGAAGCAACTTTGAAAGATCCAGTTAAAGCACCAAATGACGGGATGTAAATTCCAGCAGGCAAGGACATTTTGAGAGGAGGGATCTCAATTTTCTGCTCAGGAATTGTAATTGTAGGCAGATCAAAATCTGCAATCTTATTAGCTACTTCATCCAGATTTATATGTAGATTGCCAAGAGAAATATTCTTTGGAAGAGTGAATTGAGACACAGTTATTTGGTATTCAGGTACTGTCAATTCAAAATAGGGTAATTTGTACTCTTCTATTGTAATATAATTGGCTCCTATGTTCACTTTGGGGAATCTTACTCTTGGCAGCGTGGGCAAATTCACATCGAATGGCATTGTACTCAGTGTCTGTGGAATCTTTATGTTGCGCAAGTCAATAGTATATGATGGGACCTCGAGAGTGGTGAAAGGTACTCTAAATTCCGGAGTGCTGAGGACAGGACTTAGAGAATTTAAGTTTAGCTCAGGAATACTGAAAGAAATGCCATCTGTAAGCTTAATCACAGGTATGGGGATAAAGTAGCCATCTTCACTCTTTGTGTACACCAGGGATGCTGAAGCATTTAAGAACTGTTTTCTGTCAGCACTGGTAGTAACATCCAGCTTCAAGATATCCCACAAGCTCTTCTCAGAAATGGGACACTTCAGGTTTTTGAGGAAGCCTACGTATCCTTCCAAAGAACCAGAAACATCAAATCTTGCTTTTGATTTGTCATTTGATAATTGCATATCATGACTGAGAGATAATGACTGAACATGGCCTTCACCTTTCCAGCCAACTTTCTGGTGTTCAGTATTGATTTTCACTAGGACAACTTGATTAACTGAAGCTGTGTCCAGGAAGGAATTTGGCTGAGTAGCTTGCACCTGAAGATCTGCTGACATAGTCCAAGGAGCAAGTTCAAAGGTTGCTTTGCATTTCTGAGTCCCTGAAGTTGTGAAAAGAGGTGTATATCGTGCATAGTTTTTCCCATTGTGCTCCCAGACTGCATAAACACGACGGATAGATGCTTCAACTGCAAGAATTTCTTTCATTTCATTGTTCCACAGTCCATCTACTTTGGAGCTGGCCTCAAGTTTGAGAGATGACCGAGCTCCATTAGCATTCAGATAGGTGTTTGCTTCATGGTCCACATTTCCAGAAAATGAGTTTCCAGTATAGAACACTCCATCAATATTACCTTTTGTTGATGTTTCTACTGATAAGTAAGATGTAAGGCTTTCTAAGGCAAATTTGTGAGCAATTCCTCCTTTAGCCCTGGTGCCGTATTCAGTAGTATTAAAATCATATGTTAGTTTTAGCCCTGATGAAACAGTAGGTTTGGACTTGGTATTTCCAGAAAGCTCTTGGCTAAAATTCAGTTTTAAAATGGGTGTGTTGATATCTGCATTTGTTGCCAATGAAGCTTCCATGTTCCTCCTTGTGAGACTAATAGTGCTGTCATGATTTCCTCCTAGAAATTTGTTATTACTCAGGGATAGCGCTGTGGCCAGCTTCAAACCTCTTTTTCTTGTCAAACTTGTTGAACCATCAAGCTTAAACTGCAATGCATCGATGACTGAAGAAGACGAGACACTGAGTCGCCCAGCAATATCTGACTGATTGAACAGCCCAGCATTTGCAGTCAAAGTGATCACACTGGATTTAAATGAGAAGTCATAAGTAATGTTCCCCATGGCATAAATTAATATGTGATTTGATGGGCTGTTGATTCTGAATCTAGGAAGCTTAAGAGTGCGTAGATCCTGTGGGACATGAAGCACTGGAAGCTCCAGAGAGGGTAAGACCAGTGTGTAAGACGGTACTGAAAAGCCAATAAATGGGACTGTGAATCCTGTTGTGCTTATTTCTTTGGGGAGCATGTAACCAAAGGCTGGCAACTCAGCAGTAAAAGGAGAAACTTCAATATTCACGATAGGAATGGTGTATCCTGGAATTCTGAAGACTCGCGGTAGTTTGTTCAGTGATGTCTGTACTTTGTATTTTTCAAGTTTTGTTTTGGCTTCGTTATATGATTTTGTGAGAAAATCTAAAGCAGCATTTCTTCCTTTCTCAAAATGCTTGTTGAAGAAAATGATGTATTTATTAAGTACTTCRTGTACTGTCGTCAAAGGAAGTGGAATCGAGTGCATGTCTTTGTTTTTTTCATACTGAGCATTCAAATTTAAATCAAATGATTGTCTTGTAGTCTTCAATAATTCTTTCAGACCCATCTGTTCCCACAGGGAATAATCTTTTAGTTGAGGAGTTTTGATTTCTGTATAGGGAACCTGAAGTTGAGGAATGCTTAGAGGAATATTTAAGAAATCTAGATTGGCATCTCCACTCATTTCAATGTGAGCTTCAATTCTGTCATCATTATTGGCTGCAGACATGTTATGGGAATATCTGTACTGATTGAACCTGCCAGCAGCTTGCCAGCTGACTTGCTGAATAGAGGAACTGAGCGCAAGACCATAGTTATTCAGGAAGTCAATTTTGCCGGTCAGTTTCATTGGGAAGCTGATTTTCACATTTCCATCATTGTTTGTCAATAGACGAATTTCAAAGAGGTGGGCCAAGAAGGAAATCTCATTATTCACAGTTCCAGTAATCCGTCCATTAAGCCGAGCATTGTGAGAGCCTGTTAATTCTACCTTCATGGCTCCAAGCTGTCCTGTGCCTTTTAAGTTCAGAACACTGCGTCCCACAGGCTGTAACTCAATTTCAGACTGAATCTGAAGTGTTGCATAATTTAGGAAACCACATTCGTATTTCATAGCTTGGTTGACTTTCAAGTACTTATCATTTATTCTGTTTTCGGCAGAAAATATAATAATGGGGCCTTCAACTCTGAAAGTGGCACGTGAATCATGAGTCCCTTCATCAGAGAAGTTAGGATAAGCCCATTTCCAGTTTCCTTTACCAGCTGACGTAAATGATATGTGTCCAGCTTCTACCTCTGTTGTCATGTTATTGATCAGATCAGCCTGGCTGGAGAAAGCAGCTTGTGGAATATTCAGCCTGTGGGAATATGTCGTTCCACTCCGTACCCAAATTTTTCTTTGCAGCTTGACTATTAAATTATTCTGTACTTCAACTGAATTTTTTGTTGTATATAAGTTTGCTCTTGTTTCAGCTTCCCCTTCTACAGAAGTCCCTAAAAATTTTACTTGATCAGTGTGATCAACTTTAAGGAATCTGTGGTTGACCTTCATGGAATTTTTAAGGTTCAGCTGCTTCATCTCAGGGGCTGAGACACGTGAATCTGCAATAATGCTAAAAACAAGAAAATCTAATTTGGACGTTGCTTGAGCTGAAACAGACGTCACAAATTCTGGACTGCTTGCAGAACTTGTAGTGTTATGAAATTCAGCTTGTGTGGACAGTGTAAAGAATGGCGAGGCAACCTTGAAAGTACCAGACAATTTGCCAAAGGTAGGGATAGTTGCAGTATGTGGGATACGTGGAAGTTGGAACTCTGGTATCTTCATGTCAGGAATCTGGAACTCATTTAAATTTAGCTTAGGAACCAATAATACTGGYATTTCAAACTGAGGCATTTGCAGTTGTGAGAAAGAAATGTCAGGAAAAGGCATATCTCTCATCTTCAGATCTTTAAAATACACATCAGTTGCTGGCAACTGAAATTCACCAGACATGAGTTGGTCTATTATTCGAAGAAACTGAAGTTTAATCTCATTCAGGTCAATTGTATAGGAAGGAACTTCAAATGTATTTAGAATAGTAAAGGCTGGAGTAGTAAATCTCATTGGGATTTTTATGTCCTTTAGTTTCTTAATATTGATCTCATAGGAGGGAATATGCAGATCAGTCAGTGGGATAAAGAAATCTGGTGTTCGAAATGTTGCTTCCCGCAGGGCTCGGAGACTAACCTCAAAGGCCGGTATGGTGATTATAGCAGTTCTGATTTCGGGGACTTGAAATCCTGATTCAACAAACTGGTTTAAATTTTCAGCCCAATTTTTGATATCATACTCTTCAGCCAGAGCAACAATCTTCTTAAAAGCAATGTTCCACTGGTCAGAAATGTATATGACAACCGAACTGTAGAACTGGCTTATCTTCTGAAGATACCACTGAAATTCCTTGGAAATATCCATTTCAGAAATCCTCTCTCGCAGATCTTCCAGGTGTTCATTTATCTTGGCTTTTATATTAGCAAACGTTGTTGAGTTTATGAGGTCCCTGAACCAGTTAATTATTGCAGCAAGCTTGGTGTCCCTGAGTTGTTCTACGTATCTTGAAATCACACGGTTAACATCTCTCATATACTGTTTCAGTGCTTCGGCTTTCTGTGGAAGTTCTAGATTTCTGAGTTCCTCATTTACTTTCTGTGTCAGTTCTCGGATTTTGTTATTTGTGTCATCAACAAACTGGTTATAGTCAAAAGATATGAGACTTTTTATAATCCTGTCAAGGAACTTGTTGATTTCATTTATCATCATTTCATAATCAAAAGTTTGCACTTTCTTGACAGCATTATCAATAAAAGTAACCACTTTATCAAAGCATGATTTCACATCGATTTTTTTCAAGTATGAGATTAGTTTCTGGACAGTCTCTTTTATTTTGTACTGGTTAAGCAGCTCTACCATCCTATCCATTAAAAAATATACTTGCTTATCAATTTCATATTTTACAATCAGTTTGCGCATGTGACCTCGGAAAGTGCTGATCTTCTCAGACACTTCATACTCTTCCATCCAGTTTAGAATGAAGTCTTTGATTTGTTCAAGAATTTCATTCAGTCTTTTCATTGGCAAAGAACGCTTCAATTTTTCAAAAGTTTTTTTAACATCAATCATTTTAATCTTCTGTTTCAAGTTTTCAACGCTGCGTCTGACATCAATATTCTGAATTTGAGTCTTCAGTTTTTCCAGGTTTTCCTGTATCCAAGCTCTGATCTTGTACTTTTCATCTACATTTTTAATCCAAGCCAAAGTGCTGCTTCCAATTTCACTAGGATTATATTGCTGAAAATAATTTTGTAATTTCTGAATAATATCAACTACAGTCATTCTTATCTTATACTTGCTATCTAGAGCTATTACTTTTTCAACTATTTGGTCAAGAAGCTGTCCAATAAGTACTTTAATGTCATACTGCTCATAATTATCTTTTATGTATTGCTCAATTTGTACTAGGTAGTCCTGCAGTTGAAACAGTATTTCTTGAATATTGACCAGGGCTTTTTCTAGTATAATTTGGAGATCATCAGCTGTTATGCTGTAGTCCTTTGTGAAAGCAATCAGATTAGTTTTCATGCTGCTAACCCTGCCCTTCATATCCAGTTTGTCTATGTAGTCATTGACATGCTGTGGGAGATTATCCAAAGTTGCCTTGTATTTTCTCAYATGTTGATCTATGTTAATGTTTTTCAAGTATCTTTGGATGGCCTGCAGTGTGGATAGAATAGCGCCTCTGATTTGCTCAAAGTAAACTGGCAAGTGTTCCAAAAATGGCAGGTTGATAACATGCATGTCTTTATTTTTGTCATACTTCACAGAGCCAGAGATACTGAATTCCTGAGGCTCTGACAAACTGTCCCTGAGGCCTAACACATCAATTACATTAATTGCTTCAGAGGTGAATGGCACTGTGATTGATGAATCCATTAGAGAGAGATCTGCCAAAGCTCTTCCACTAAGTTCCATACCAGTCTTTTCTGCATCGTTGTAAGCACTGAGATCTTGTGAATATACATTATTGTTCAGCTGACTTTTCATTTTCCAAGCACTTGACTGCTCTGATGGAGTAAAAAGCACATGGACTTTATTATCAAGCAGTGTAGTGTACCTTCCTCTAGACTTCAAGTTGTGACTGGTAGATCCTCTGTAATCATGGGAGAAAGTGAAAGCAAGAGGCTCTGCTTTGAACAGAAATTTGCTGTAAAGGTCTCCAGTGTGTTCACCCATAGCAATCAGCTTTCCATTACCGTTGGTATGTACATCAGCAGTGATAGTAAATGGGGCCATAGTGGAACGTACAGCATTGCTGAAACGGAGAGATTTGGAATCACAGTTTGTGTTGATGGTAATTGAGGAAGCAAGTCCTGCCACATTCAGATTAACTCTGTGACTCACTGCTGCGCCTTSAACATTTGCAACTGTATCTGTTTTAAAGTTTGCAGCCAGATCAGCATATGTAATGGCGTAGGTATGCCTTATTTCATCTGCTCCATAGGCTCCTCTCACATTACCACCCAAATTCAGCTTCAGAGGCTCAAGGAGTAATTCCGCTTTGTTGCTAACTTCAGTTCTAGTGTATTTAATATTATTASTCATCTTAGCTGTAAGTGACCAAGGCTGTAGTTGTAGATCAAAGACATGCTTGTGGAACTTCTCAGAACTGAAGCTGTTGTCTAATTTTGAAGCATATGTTAAGGATAAGCCAGGTATATTCAAGTCATTTGTGTACTCCAGCTTGATTTCTTTAAATGATCCTTGCAAGTTATTTGAAAATTTGAGTCCTTCAGAATTAACTCTGAAGTTCAAAACATGTTTGTTGTCCATGCCCAGAATTGTACTCTGATATTCACTTCCCAGTGTTATTTCCATTAAGCTCACTCTTCCACCTATATTGAATTTTGCATTGTTTTTACCATAGCGCCCAGAAGAGGATAGCGACATGGAGCCTCCGGAAGTATCGAGCTTGGCATTCACTTCACTCTGCATTGTCAGTGGACTAAACTGCACATTTGTGGTTGCACTGCTGGCTAGACCATACTGATTAATATTGAGAGATGACTTATGGGCAGCTCGATTCCTTTGATCAGTCATTGAAATATCAGTGTTGAAAACAAGATCCTGGGAGTTGAGAGAACCTGCAAACAAGGCATAATACTGGGTTTGCTTGTAAGTGGCTTGGTTTTCTGAGCGAAGAGCAGCTGTCTTCCTCGATAAAATTAACTCAAGCTTATTGACACCTGCAAGTTGTCGGTATCTTCCATTTGTCTCAGATGTCACTTTCAGCTGGCTGTTTTCATACCTTAGTGAAGCTGTGTTCTTTAATAGTCCACTTTGTACATCAGAGACAGATGTAATGGAAAACACACCATCACTGTATCTGCCAGATACCTGATTGGTAGCCTGAAGGTAAGAAGAATCCAACTTCAGATTTGATTTCCCTTCTAAAACCCGTCTCTTTTCATTGTACGAGCTTGACAGAGTGTAAATACTTCTTGCAAAGACAGAAGCCACTTCCAGCTGGCCTTCCATCTTGACATTATTGATATTCACATTATTTGTCTTCTCAGAAACAATATCGGTGGAAAATGAAAGCTGAGGACCCAGAGTGCTTGATGCCATAAGTGATACCGTGCAGTTTCCAGTGGGACTAGGTTCATAGCTCTTTGTCCTGGCCAGTTTAAAAACTGATGTTAACAGTCTGTGTTTCAGATGATTTTCATATGMATACATATAGCCATTCCTATGATAAGATGCTTCTCCAGAACCTGAAATACAAGGAAAGTGACACAAGATAAATATATACATTATGTCTTAAAGACTGTCAGAGAAAAAATATTTTTGCAAATCAAGAATATTTCTGTAAAAACTTATCATTTTGATATTTGGGGCTAAATTTTAAAAATGACAATAAATTAAAACTCGACTCTGTATTAAGTTTAATTATATGAGATGATGCAACATTATGCCAACTTAACTAGTGAATTTAACAAGATGGATGCTCAAGAATTATCCAAACTAGACCATAACTAAGATTCTTTTATCTAACTCTTGCCTTTATCAAATGTCTTTGTTAATTCCATTTATGGTGTGGATTTTAAAAGAAACTAAATGASTTTGTCTATTCTCATTGCATTTTGAAAAGAACTACCTTTAAAATACCCATTTTAAGACCTACTCAGTCTGGATCTGGGATACTTAAATAGTAAGTATTTATGGCAGTATATAAGCATATTCAAGTTATAAACAAATATATATTAATATGTACAGGAAGAAAGAGAAAGAGAGAAATTGCAGGCAGACACAAAACCACACACACAAGATCGATTTTGAAAACACTTGACTTGTCAAGTACACAATTGTTTTTTAGGATTGGACTTTCAGTCCTGAAGGATTTTGCCCTCAATAGGGAGTATTTTGGAGTGCAGACTTTAAAATACTTGATTCAATTATATGATTTCATCTTTAGTGCCTAAATAAAAGATTCACAAATTATCTTTAAAGAGAGTTCAGATTATCAAACCTTGTTCTTTAAATAAACAATAAGAAAACATATGTGCTATGCTTTATCTGATGAATGTCAAATGAAATTATTAAAGAAGTTTTGCCAACAATACAATATCAACACAAATTCTTACCTTTTACGTTGTAAGAAAGCAGCTCAAAAACTGAATCGGCATTCATGGCATAAGTAGTTCTTATGGATGTTTTGTCTGTGTGGGTGTTATCCAAAGTGTATGTTGCTGACCAGTTGTAATAGTTGCTATAGATATTACTAGAGACCTCTAAAGTGTCAAGTAAAAGCACACGAAGTGGATAATATTTTGGAACAGTAAACGGTGGGATTCTGTATTCCTGCGATGGTACATTTATTCCCATGGACTCCATTACCAGAGGAGGTGTTTTAACAGTTTGTAGCATCTTCATGTCATGGGATGATCTTCCACCAAATGGCAATGGAATATTAATTACAAAACTGTTTTTATTCCAGTTGTATCTGATCCGGCCATCACTAGAAAACAAAAGTGACTGTGTTTAACAATCTATAAAAGTCCATGATTTATACAAGGAAATTCCTACTATTCCCATGATACCGATCTTATTTATTTACAGGCTTATACCAATATCTTGACTTTAGATATACATAGCAATGTAAAGATGACTTTTTCTTATCTCAGCATTTTTGAAGCATCCATCTATTAGAATCTACTGAAAGTGATTTGGATTTTGGTAAATATTATTAATGTTTGCTTCCCTTTTTCCATAGTCAGTAAAGCTGAGAAGGCAARTAATCCAAAATGGACTATTTAAGTTAGACCTTGTATTAGAGTTCAAAGCTTCTGGAATCTGCCTAGAGTTACTATGCATAACTAGGAGAGAGTTGCATTTTTTTTGCAAGGGGCTAAATATAAGACTTATGAATCTTGCACTTGTTTTTTCTGACCTGAGAATCCAAATCTGTTTTATGATCATCTACGAAGAGATGCAATATGAAAGAGCATCCATGAAGAGATGCACCGATATGAAAGTGGTCCTCTAAATTAAATAAAGGAAAATAGCTGACATACAGTAAAGAATAATTCTTCTGAAAATACTGCYACAACTCTGCAACGTGTTACGCTGAATACAAGAGAAAGGCAATTCCTCCTAGTATTATTATTAAGATAAAATACCCCTACTAAACAATATACAAAACTTACAGTATACAAGTTTAATATATGTTAATATTTTAACATTAATACTATTTTTATTATTTAATCTAAATTAATCTTAAAAAGTATATTTTTATAGAAATGAATGAAAAGACTCATACTGTAAGAAACTAAATTATCAAGAATGTCTCTGATGATGATAAGTATTTCAAAAGTTTTTTGCAAATATTCAGCATTTAATTTATTCTCAGTACAAAAAAAAATAGGACTGGAAAATATGGATTTCCAGCTGAAAAATTTGTGTGGAAAAAGTGTAATTATGAAAAGACAAAACAGAAGGAAATTCAGTCTTAATTTGTGCAAGAACAATATTCTGGCAAGRTGCTTTTGTTGTTTGCCCTATTGGTGTTGTATAATACAAAATCTTTTTTACTCTTAGAGTCACATTTTGAGATGAAAAGTAAGCAAATAGATTCTAAAAATCTGTTCCATTCCATTCTAGCAAATCATTAAAAAAGACCGACACAGAACAGTAGAAGCTATTATTCTAATGTGCACTGTTGATAAGAATACAGGAGAAAGAAACATTAGCTTCCCTGCTTACACTTAGCTCAGGAACATTACAAAGCTAAAGGAGATGTCTGTCATTAACACTTTGTTTTATAATGCTCCAGTGAAAGGCAGTATGTGGAAAAACTAGTGCGAGGAAGGAGAAAATACTCTTTTTTTTTTTTTTTTTTTTATCTGTTTTCGTAATCCAAACTTTACAAGCTTCTTTATTCCTTTCATTTACATTTATTTCAGTCATCTATATTTCCTTAGGTAATGGGAATCCTATACAAACACATTTCATACACTGGGGTAGCAGTAGTGTAGAAGCAGAAGTCCTTGAATTCTTATGCAGAGGCAAACCAACGATGTGATAAGAACACTAATTAACAAGAGGGCTAATCTAAGACCCATCACGAGCGCAACTTCTAGACAGGTGCTAGAGCATTTTAAAGTACAGATTCACTCTGACTGATTTATAATTTAATTTGCTAGAGATGGAAGGAGTAGGATGCTTATCTTCCTCTTTCTTGGTCAAACCTAATTTCTTATAGATTTTTAACATATCAGATAATTTCTACCAAATTTGACAGAAGGGTTCCTTAAAAGTTTTGTTCACACAAGTTCAGTGAAGCTTTGTAGCAGGTCGAGGAGAAAAAGTGTAAGACATTAGGATTAGGGACCTTTTGGTTATTGCCAATAAAAAAAAAGGTCTGTATGGATGCTGGACAACWAGGTACAGGAAATTAGGCTTCATTACTACTTCTTTCATGGAAAGATCATTGAATGATGAATTTTTTTGCTCATTTCTCATGGCATAATGCAGTACTTCAGGATGCATTCATATGCTGCAGGAATGATGTCTGTAGAATCAGTTCTGTCTTACCTAGCATCATTCATAACTTACACTACATAATTTCTTTTATCTTAAAATTCTCTGCTAATTTTATGGAACTGTTTACAATAATTTTAGACTATTTTATAAATCACAGTCAAATAAGATAGTAGAAGCACATGAATGAATATATATTTTYAGTTCTCTGTGTGACTATGCTCATTTCTCTCCCTACCTTTTCAGGAAAAGTTCTTCAGGAATAGTGATAACAGGCAGGTTCATTTTCTGGATGTTCAGGTCCTGTAGTCCACTTAGTTTGTCTTGTAGAGTCCGCGCATAGGGGACATCTTTTGATGCCTTTTGCAGCCAGGTGTTTGTTGCCTGCAGTGAAGAGCAAAATTTTTCAAAGTAAAGGGATAAAAGAAAGAAAAAGTATGACAAGATTGAGGCCTTTCCACCATGTAACAGCTGTCTGAAGGTTCTTGCAACTATCCATATACAAAGTACTAGGCATCTGGTAAAGTGGCTCTATCCAAGTTGAAAATATAAACTGTATTAAATCTCACTGCTTTCACATGTCATCCCCATTAAGTTCCTTTTGGCATTCTTTGAGGAGATAATTCATCAGGGCTACATGATCAAGCAGTAATATCCACTGTAAATTGAAACATACCACGATAAATTGTGATAAAATATGTCGCAGCGTCATATCTGTATGAGCTACTTTCCGATCCAGCAGTTCATTAGCATGCTTCTGCAAAGTTTTGGGGTAGTCTGAAAGATTAACTGTGAAGCCAGAAGACATTTTCTTCACAGCAGCATTTGCTCCTGAATTCCACTCCAGTTCAACTTTCTCAGAATCTGAAAATCATGAATTTAGAAGAAAAAAAATGGTAAAAGTCAGAAGTATTCTCGCTCTACTTGAGATTTAATATAAACCAAAGTTATAAGCTGTCTACATTTATAGGTTTTACACCTGAATTGTGTGTTCACCTTACCATATCTGAAAACAACTCTTCCTGAAACTGAATTCCCAGGAGATGTTGCAGCTGAGMTCATCTGAAGATATCCTTTGGTCAGTGAGTAATTAACCAGTGCTTCAGTTCTAAGTTCAGTTTGCAGGCGAGGTATGGAAAGGGTGCCTCTTAGCATTGCTTCTTCCATTCCAGCATATCTAAGAAAGTGAAAAGTCAACATGCATATAAAGTATTTCATTTACCTCTTTTGTTTATGTTTCAGGAGTAAGTCCAAAATTTAAATTCATGGTGGTATAAAAAATGGAATTAATCAGAGTTATAGGATTGYTTCTGATTCAATGAATCAGAATCAGCAGATTCCTGGTGACTTTGGAAAATTTAAAGTAAATTATTTTAATGCTATGCAGAAACACAAAGGACTAATCCAATATTTATTTTATAACATTGAAACAGAAGGAACTATCTACCTGTCTTGGTTCAGCTGTACCTGAATCAAATCCTGCTCTCTTTATTCAAGACATTCTTTACTAAGCATACGAACCATGAATCATGAATCAAATGGAAACAAAACATTTGACAAAACATTATGCCATTGGGCCTCATTTTCCTTTATTCACATTTATTTTATATCTCTGTCACTTTGTTAAATTCTAAAATTCTAATTTTATAAAATTCTAATATTATGTTAGTGTAAATGAAAGGGAATTGAGGTCCCTGACATCTGTCCAAAGCTCCCACTGATATCAGAGGCAATTCTGCATGAACAACAAAGACAAAGACTCYCTGGGGAACCATCAGGATCACAGAATTCCATGGAAGATTGAGGTTTATTAAAGAATGTGATCAGCTCATTTCACCATGGGCTTGTGAGGCGGACAATTTTAGAAACCCTGGCAGGCTGAACATTTTTGTTAGCTCCCCTGTAGATGTTCCCGGAAATATTCTCATCATGAAGCGTGGGAACTTTTACAGGAAGCTCTCAGTTATTTTTTGTTTTGTTGTTTATGGAGTGTCACTAGATTTCTTCACAGGGAGACCCAATAACTTTTTTTTTTTTTTTTTTTTTTGAGCTGAATATACTCAATAAAAGATAATGTGTCTGAACAAACCATGCCTTGTTTATATCCTTGGACTATCACACCTGCAGTAACAGTACTACAACGTCATTCTTGCAGGAATCTGTATACAAATATGGAAGAACTAACTCAAATTTGTAATACAAATTATATATACACATATAGTAAGAAGGCTCAACTGTTATGTATTGCATATATCTACTTTAGAATTAGTCTTTATATTAGATATATATATCTTGTATCTTTTGCAGATTAGAAAGAGAATGCTTCAAGTGTTTATGAAAGAGAATTTGAGTAACAATTTTTTATGTGTATGTATATTCAGTAATTTCTCTTAAACAGGATATTATTCCCCTTTTTTATTCTAAGTTTAAAAAATCTTCAGCTATCTTATTCAATGGTGTCTTGGAAAGCTTAAATGGTTTCCTAGCTTACCTTATTTGTCCAGTAAGAGTAACTTCAGCTATCCTCTTGTTTAGCAGGTCTAAGATTAAGGTATATGCTTTCTTCCCAGAAACAGATTCATCAGTAATTCTGAAGTTTGTACCAAAGTCAATATCAATATCTGGAACGCGGACATCACTGGTCAAAATTCTCCTGTCCCTGTTGTACCTGAAGGTCAGTGTGGCCTCATGCTGCCTTACACCTGAAGAAAAWAATTACTTTGGTTATTCACAACTGTGGTATCTTTCTGGACTGTTCTAAAATGGAAAAGAAGAAATCAGTTTCACCCTAAAGATATAAATCAGCAGGTGATGAGTCTGAATCACAAACTGATTTATCATTTTTTTCTTCATTTTCTAAATCATCAATGACCAGTCTACCAGTCATTCACAGAATCACAGAATGGTTAAGGTTGGAAGGACCTCTAGAGATCATCTACTCCAACCCCCTGCTCCAGCAGGGACACCCAGAGCACGTGGCACAGGGTGGCACCCAGGCGGGTTTTGAAGACTTCCAGAGAAGGAGACTCCACAACCTCSCTGGGCAGCCTGTTCCAGGGCTCTCACCCTCACAGTAAAGAAGTTCCTCTTCACATGGAGATGGAACTTCCTGTGTTGCAGCTTATAACCATTACCCCTTGTCCAGTTCTTGTTATATTCTTCTATATTCTCTATTCTTGTTACATAAACTCACTCTTCCACAGATTCTCCCTTTGAAAAAAATGCTGTTGATGGCACTATTCTCTGTTGTATGCAGTATTACCATATTTTACCAGAAATGCCATTTATTTCTTGCTTATATAGAACCCATTAATTTTTCCTTTTATTCTTTCATTCACTGATACCACTTGGTTTTGTTTATTTTTTTTTAAACATGGGAAAGCATTTTTGTGATATAAAATCTGAATCTGATCACAAAGACCTTGCACTGGAACTGTGTACGTGAAGTGAAATGAGTGAAAGTGTTGTCACATGTCAAGTGAAATGGTATTCTGTTTTACATTACAAATGATTCTATTAGGATGATTTATTCATTTAAAGAAAAAAAAGGAAAGCGTTTCCCACTTCAATGTTCTAATTCAAAACTGAGCTAAACCATCTTGCTTTTTCAGTTTCTTACCTTCTGCCTGGAGAGCAAACTTCAAGGTGTCTATCAGGTCACTTCCCTCCCTCTGCAAGTCATAGTTAGCGCTTGCAGAGTATTGCTTCACTTCGCCTGTGGAAACTATTTCAACTTCAAATCTAGAAAAGGAATAAATGAATTTTGTAAATAATGTGGTTATGACAGGATAAATCATTCACATATTACTAGCTTTGTAAGGTACTCCTACTGACTTCTTAGAATATGTGAGAGCATACTGTAGATAATGTCTTATAGGGCTTTATATGTTTCTTGATGCAAAACAGACACAGTCAAAGCTGGTTTGACTTACTTGGTTTCTCCAGTCAGGGGATAGTATGGAGCTGAATCTGTAGCACTGGCATTGGAGTATAACACATTGGTGCAGAAATTTAGACCAGTAATAAAAGACTTGCAAGAAGTCCATGATTCCCTATTCTCAATCAGAGGTGGAATCTCTTCAGTTTTTGTTGGAGACACCAAATGTAGTGTGTTGCTGGAATACGAAAGTGAACGTTAGTATTCTCAGGAACRGGTATTTAGATACTACACTTAAGTTGGTAAAACCTATTAATGGGGCTACTTTCTGAAAAGCTGTTGGGGCTTTATAAAATAAAGAGCTCTTTAGGGCTTAAATGATCAAATTGAGTATTATTGTTGTAAGTATTATTATAGATAGAAAAATGCAATTCTGTGTATTGAGATATTCATCTCTGAAATTAATATATGCAATTCATTTAATTTCAAAATAAAATATCTATGATAATGATTTTATGCAAAAGAAAATAAAGATGCAGAAATGCAAAGGGTCTTGATGAAAAATATAGAATTGAATAGTAAATTAATTGAATGATAAATTTCAGTTATCCCTATCTGGGACATTCACCTATCCTACAAAAGTAGCTATCCCAGTTTTACAATGTCTGAGATTTTTCTGAACTGAAGATCTCTCCATGCTTGCACCCACCCCTCAATTCTGTCAGAATAAGAATCAAAAAGAGAAGGAAGGGCAGAGACTTGGCATTTTTCATTACCTGATGCTTAGGAGTTTTGTCGGAGTCTTTGGAGCAGGAATGCTGAACTTCAGTTGTCCAGCTTTCATGCTAACATGTGCTTCAATTCCAGACTCATGGAATATGTTGGAATTCATCTCCACACCACTTCTAGCAAATTCAGGCATGTTTACTCCCAGGTGGGTTACAAACTCTATTGCTACGGAAGGTTTAGCAATGAATTCTGCTTGCATCTATTTGATAAAAACAAAATGATATGTTTATTTGTCCAATACTTTTCTTATTAATCTTGTAAAAAAGCAATATTTTCATTCTTCTTGATAACCTAGAGCTTAGTTTTGTATAATTGACATTGCCATTCAATATATTTGATTCCTAAGCCTCACTATATAAACTGAGGGGAGAGAAAATTTGTAACTGCAACATAGCAAATACAGTAACCTGATAACCTTAGAAATCTTACCTACTGCAGAAGTACTTCTGCTACAGAAAGATTTTGTATATGAACTATTTGCATCTATTTTTAAAGCTGAAAACAAAACCAGTTTTCCAAGGGAGAAAAATKATAATAATTTTCAAAAATAATGACTAAATAACTTTACAAAATAGAAATTGATCCCAGATTTGAATTTCCCTAAGGAGAAAACAGCTTACTTTCAAGCTTCTGGTTTGGACATTATAGAAATAGCAAACAGAATGAAATTCTGGGAAAAAAAATCAAAAAAAAAAAAAAAGCAGGGAAAACTAAATCTGAGCACATTTTTATATTTATTTATACTATTATGTATTTATACAGTTACACTATTAAATAGTGCATAGAGGAAAATGAAAGTTTAGGTTGGCTGAAGCATTGAGAAATTTATATAAAATATTGAATAAATGAGGTCAAAATAATAATGAACAACAGTAAAAATGCTCATTTTGGCTTGAGAATTCATTTAATTCCACGTGCTCTTTAATTTTTTGAATTTTAAAATAAAGATGTTTCATTTCATATTCATTTTTTCATTTAATTTTATTTTAAATGTTTCTTTTAACTGAAATTTTTATTAATTGGTTTTCCTGGCAAACTCACATAGTAGCGCTTGCACTATTCTCATTTGATATTAATGAGAAATACATAAAGATTATTTTTAAAAAGYGTAAAGTTAAATTTCTTCCATAAATTTAGTAATCTCATACTTGATATGTGCAATATGTTTGTGAATGACATTCACATTAAAGTAAACTTATCTAGTGATGGTAAGTTCTTTTTTTTTTTTAAGAGTATTTCATAGTATTTAAAACTGTAGCACCATCAGAATTGTATGATAAGTTTATAGATTATTATCAAATGCATAACTGAGACTTACGCTTTTTTGATGAAGCTTCACAGCTACTTTGGCCCCAGGTGTCACTATTCCAGACAAAGCAAACTTGAGTTGCAAACCTGCTCCAGTTGGGAGCTCAAACTCATTGTCCATGAACATGTAGTGCACAAATAAGTCCCTGTCAGCACCTTTTGAGATGGCTTGTGCAATCTGAGAAACAAAAAAAGGAATGGACATTAACAAATCTATATATGAAACCTACACTTAAAAATATCTGATAGAAAACAAAAAGAAACCAAAATACTCATTGGTACATCTGAAACATACCATTTCTGGAATACCCTGAACAGTTTTAATGCTCTTCAAAATCATGCTTCCCAGCAATTTGAAATCATTGAGTTTCATGTATCCAAGTTCTTCTCCCAAGATTCTCAGATGTGCTCTTCCTTCAGGAACTTCCTTGTTGCTCAATTCTTTTATGAGTTTTTCAAGGTTAAGCATTATTGCTTTCACCATATCCTGAAAATTCATTCAAAAAGTAGCATAAAATGAAATAGATTTATGAGAAATCTGTGTGATTACATAGCAAAAATTTTAACTTGGTGAACAGAAGCTAATCCAAACACGCACTTTGCACCTCAAAGGCCTTCCCAAATATTATTAAAAATCTTTTTTAAAATATGATTAAGAACTTCTGTTTTAACTTATTAGGAGAGAAGGCTCAGATGATACAATATTTACTGAAAGTACTGTAATTAATACTGTAATGTGAACAGACAATAATGCAATGCTGCACAAAGAACACTTTCAAGCTGTACCTGTTCCTGTCTGCCATCCTGGGAATAACCAAAATAGTCAAAGAGTGCCTTGGAGACCTTTTCTGGAACTCTGCCGTCAACCCAGTACAAAGCTTTGTGCGTAGTGTCTGGGAAAAATCCCTTCTCTCCAAATAAAGCTTCCAGGGTTGGTTCAAAACCCTTTCCATCCAAGCCAAGCTGAAATGTATAAAGCAAAGTCCTAAGTCACACAGTTTTCCACTTCTTTAGGACCTTACAACAAAAAGGCTTTCTGGTGAGYAAACTATACATTTAAAACATATATCAAAGTTCTATGAATCTGGAGAGAAAATATGCATCAGAACAGAATGCTAGATTTTATGATTGATTTTATTTTTGTGGAGAGGTCCAACATAAAACCTCAATATAGGCTGGACCTCACTTACAATCCACTACGAATACATCAGTGGGCAAGAAATGATTGCTTAGCATGCAGTCTATTTGTTACAGGTGGGTTCAGCCCTACCCTAGCTAGATCTTTAGTGACCCAACAAGATGGTCCATCAGCAAGCGACATCCCATAGGGTCTTGCTCTAAATCCCAATGAGGATCAAATGAGTCTCCTTGCATAGTGATCATTAGATTTTTCACCAAAACTTGTCAAAAATACTGTCTTATTCACAGAATGTTGTTATAAGCCAACAGAAATGAGAAAGGCAACAGCTGCAAAATAATAAAAGATCTTGCTGTACCTCAAAGATATCGCTTGGGTGCAATCCATACAGATTCAGGGTGGTTTTTAACATAGTCTCCTTAGGAATGTAAGCGTTTGGGTCAAATATCACATTTCCTTCTACTTTGGCAGAGATGGGATCAAGTCCAGGTAGAGAAACTCTTTTGGAAATCTGATAATTTTGTGAGAATTTTCTGAAATCCTTGGCTGTTGGAACCTGGTTTCCTTTCAGGGCTTCTTCTACTCTGCTTTTCAGACTAAGAGCATAGTAAACAAAATATGATTAGTATACATACCAAAAACCATTTAGCCCTAATTCTGAGATATCTTATGACACTTGTAGATATTCATACAACTGAGATGATGGAAAATGGCTAGCTCTGTATTGCATCCTAACAGTAAAACTAAAAAAAGACTGTAAGCTATCACTGCTCTGACGAAGCCATAGATTTACCCAGACGATGTTCTGTCTTTTAGGTTACTTCTCCTTAACTTTGTTCAAAAAATGAAAGTGAGCATGGAAACAAATATAAAAAAGAAAAAAAAAGAAGCACTGCTAGACAAATAAAAAAGCACCATYGCTACAATTTGGATCACAATTTTGTTCTTCTTATATGATCAGCGCATGGTTTAATTTTACTTACTCTTCAATGCCTGTTTCTTCAGAGTCTAAGATGTTAGCAATATGTGAGGCAACAAAGCTTTTCACTTGTTCATTCCTCTCCTTTGTCAGGACTCTTACAATCTTGGTGAGGTCACTTGGAGAAGGGTTTTTCATCAGCATGAGATAAGCTGCCAGACGTTTGTCAGCAAGTGCATCCCCTTCATTGAATACTTTCAGAAGAGCTGAACGGTCCTATATTAAACAGAGGAAGGCAAATTATGCACTGATCAGCTGGTGAGCAGATGATATTGCCAAAATCTTTTTGGACTATAATGGGTCAAATAATTTCCAGAATGATATTCATGCAATATTTTCAGGACTGCATAACCACAACGGCCTCTCTTTCTATAACTAAGAGTGTTTTGCTGATTCTMCTTTCTTTTGACATGAATTTTCATAGAAATTATGGTTTTAATGAAGCTGACTTTTTCATCTTGTATCTATCAGGTTATTTTTCTGTTTAAAATGCTTATTTTCGATTGCTGTGAATAAATGTTCTGACCTGAAGAAAAATTCTTAGATTTTGAAAATTAGTTTTTGGAAATAAAACTCTTTTTTTAATCTGAAGATAAAAAGAAAAATAGTTTGAAAATAATAATAAAAAAATCATTCTCTGAAAAATATTTAATTTTAAAATGCCTTGAGTGAAACTGAATCTGATGACCTGTTTGAAGGCTCCCAAGCTCACAAGCCTCTCTTGTCTTTTATAGTAGGAACCTGTTGATGTTGAAACTGGTATTTGCTATAGTTACCTGAAATGTTCTGTGTAATGGTACCCATTCTCTACAAGATGTTTTTATTTCACCTTAATTTAAACTTAAATCTAGGTAGTACAATAATGATAGCAATCAACTGCCATTCTAAAATACAGAACTGTTTTTTTTCTCTATATTTAGTTAACTACATATAAATTTGGAGTAACTCCTTAAACCACCTTTAAACAGGGACAGCACCATTTAAGATGTCTTTACAAGAACATATTCAAGCTTTCCCTTTAAACTGAAGATATGTTAAGCAGCTACATTTCAAAGGAGCAGTGTCCATTGAGTCACAATTCTGTAGAACTTCTCAGATGTTTGAATAGAAAATAAATTCTAGAAAGGCTGTGGATAATTACACAGGAGATAGCAAAAATATGGAATAATAGGGACATCTTGATTATTTAGGTGAACAGTTAAGTTAAAGTGAATTGTAAACAATTTCTGCCAATTTCTGTGATCCAGTTTACCTCTTCTGTAATAGTCATTTTTCTGAATGCCTGGATGGCTGCTTTCTGAACTGAAGGTGATGCAGCTTCATTTCTGATACATGTCTTAAGCAAAGATTTCAGGTTGGGCTTAGCTTTTTCCATTATTGTGCCCATGTTTCCAATAGCCTGTCAGTGATGAAAACACAGAAATATGATAAATAATTTTTTCTCCAACAACAGGAAGACAGTCTTATATATGCAATAATCTATAATAATAGCATGCATAAGGGAAGAAACAAATAAAAATACCCTAAGTGTGAGATATGTGAGCTCTTCGTCCCCAGAGCATTCTGTGCCAAGGAGTGATACCATGAAGTCTGCAACATCTCTTATTTCTTCTGTCACAGTTAGCTTCTCATTGTAGAATCTGAGCAAAAAAGAAACACATTAGAAAAAAAGAGGACAAATGATTTTTGTTTGTTTTTTAATTCCAAAAGAGATAACTTAAAAAAATGTTCAAAAAACAACTACTCTTAACAATTATTGTGGAGATTTTAATGCCTTGCTGAGATTATTTTATAAAACCAGGTACTGTCATTACTCACTTATTAACAGAGTGACTCAATCCATAAAATGAAGCTCTGCTTGGCCGATACTGGGCCATGTTAAGAATTTCCCGTATTCTTTCAGCAGTTGGAGAAGGCAGCAGTCCCAGGGTATATGTGACCAGGTCTGTCACAAGTGGATTGACATTGCCTGTTCTCAGTATCTGGAGGACAGCACTATAGCACTCTGGAGTCCCGCACTGAGTCAGGGCCTGGACTGTAAGGGAACTGAAAGAAAAAGAGGGCTCAGATCAATTCCCTGTTTGCAGTTATCCATCCATGGCACATGTTTGAAAGAAGCTGAATGAAAGAAGTATTCAAAGCATTCAATTAGGTGTGTTAATGTAAGTGATGTATGCCTATGTATGTCTATAATGTATGTCTTGGAAGCAAATCACTCAAATGTTTATCAAAAAGAAGCTTAGTTTTACAAATTGTGCTAATAACATGATTTGCCATGGACAACACAAAAGTATTAACAATGCTATGGACAACACAAAAGTATTAACAATGCTATCACTACATAGCCTACATCTTTTTACTATAAACACGTTACACTTTCCCATCCCCTTAACTACTACAATATAATACACTAAAATACACTAAAGCCTATAGAGAGGCTTTAGTGTCTCTACAGACTGAAGACACAAGTATGTGCAAACTGAATTAAGCTCAGCTAGGACAGGAATAGCAAGGATTGGGAGATGGAGAATGGGGAAGATTAAAGACACGTGCTCTCCCCTATCTTCAAAAATTTTGCTTTCTCAGCTGCATTCTTTAATATAAGTCAGGACTGGAGTTTGGAACTAACATCCTTGTCCTTCAAGGAAGCTGGATGAATTTTCTGCAGATATTTGGTCATATTAACATCTTCTCAGGATTGTACCAGGCATACACCCTCAGCTGGGGTGGTAGAAGGGAAAAACAGTAATGCCTAGGTTTTTTAGCCTATGCTAAATTCAACTTCTTTTTGTGAGTTAGCTTCTCCAATTAACTAGAAAGATTTGAGCAGCTAATGATGAAAAAGACTAGCTTTTTATAGAATTCTAGAGCTTTCAGACCTGTTAAAATTCTATTACCATTTTCATATATGTTCAGTTTGTTATTACCATTTGAGCATTTCTGATGGGAAAAATATTAATTTCATTTTTTTTCTCATGCTTTCCTTGTTTCTCTCTAGAGAAGTAATATGATAGTTACCTTTCTGAAAAGCCAATGTTAACATCTAATTAGCCTATAATTTAAAATCACTTGAAGCAAACAGTCAAATTCAGAATTGTTTCACTAGGACACTGACATRTTGAATTTGCACTATGCACTGTTGTAGCATACCTGGAAGTTTCCATCATCTTTGGTACAAGAGAACCAAGACTGGCATTGTGTAAACTTCTAAGTCCAGAAACAAATTTGTAAAAGAGTCTTGCTCTCTGCTGGTTCTGTTGGGAGGCTGAAAGTTTTTGCAATTCCTGAAGAGCTTTCAGAACAGCATCCTCTTGCTTGGGAAATTTTGCATCTGAACTTTCCAGTGCAAGTCCTTTCTCTTCCAGTTCATCTAGAAATTAGAAAAAATTACATTCGATATCTTTATCAAGGTGGTATGCTAGTGTTTATCCTCTGACACATGCTTAGTATAGATATATACTCTGTAGACTGCTTTATATGATACTAATTTAAATTTAATAGCTGAAGAATTTCTAAAAATAGTAAAATGGAATATAAATGTAATTCTCCCMAAAACAGAATGATACTGATTTGTAGAAATCTTAAATTTTCCTGAAGATGATTCCTTAGTACATTTTATCCTTTATACCGTTTAGCGGGGTTTGATTTTCTAACTTTTAATGATTGTTATCAGGAAGGTATGTTATCAGGAAGGTATGCTATGACCAGTAGTAACATTTGCACACCACAGAACGACAGAATCATAGAAGGGTTGAGGTTGGAAGGGACCTCCAGAGACCATCTAGTCCAACTCATCGAGTTGTTCAGATTTGGTAGCTAAAGCCAGAAATTGAAGAGCAAAATTATGACTAGCAAAGAATGTGTTGTTAAGCCTATTTCCAAAAAGATTAACTTTCAAGATACCTAAAAAATAYATAAAGACTAATTGGAAAAAATACTAAAAGATTAATTTAATTAAAAATGAAGAAATAAATTAAAAAATWAAAAAATTCCCCGATTCCCTCCCAAAGTTTTCTGACTAGATATATCAAATTTAATTAAAAASTCAATTGTTTTGTTTCCCTCATAAACATTTTAATGACATAATTGTTCAAAAATATGTTGTCTCTGTATTTTTATTTGACATTTATTCAGAACTGCACATGTACCTCCATCAAAATTTCTATTATTGATCTTAGGGGTGTCTTCAAGCTTCAAGGTCTGGTTGACTTCTGTCATCACTCCATAGTGATTTCTAGTAATCAAAGAAAAATATAGTCCTTTAGTTGAAAGTAAATAGTATTGAGAAATCTTGCCATACCTGCTGCCTCCGTAAGAACAAAGGGACTATGTGGGATCTACATCAGACTTTGATATATTACTATATAAAATATACATAGAAAAGATAACAATAAGGACAGTGCAACCTACTTGTATGAGGAAGGCAAAAACAGGTGTTTTTCACTGCAGACAACATCTCTTATATGCCTTTTCTTTGCATCAATATTGTAATGACAGAATTGAGTGCTCCTCAGAAGTGTCGATAATGGAATGTTCTACAGAATAAAGATTTTGGCATCATTTTGCTGAATATATGYAACAAACATTTTTAAAGGCTGTCACAGTCTTACTTTAATATTGACAGTTATACCATATTGAAAATGATGGTGCCTAACTGGAATCATTTTTATCCCCCCAAAAAACTGTGCCAGTACCAATCTTTATTCTTAACTGAACAACTGAACAACTCAACAAATAGTTGATTGTTTAATCACACTGACATTGAAACTGGTCTATGAAAAATTCTCCTCTAAAAATAACTTAAAGAAATTCATGAGAACATGARGGAAAAACAATATACTCTTTTTCTCTGCATTAGGTTTTTCTCCATTGACTGGCACCAAGTCTATATTCTGTTCTTACGTAAGGATGGAGATAATCTACYGGAGCTCCAAATTAGTAATTGTTTATCATTTTAAGTGGGTAAAGAATGTTAATCTTAGAATTTTTACAGGTATACTTACTAGTCCCTTTACAATGGCGATGGGGCTGACATAATCTCTGATGGGACTGAAGTTGTCACAGACTTTCAGGTCCCTATTAATTGAAACTTCTTCAGCAACATTTCCTTTCCTAGATTTGAATTCAACTTCACTATCGCACTTTCCATATATAGTGTCCTGGAAAGAAGAAAGAAATTAGTATCCTTGTTTATGATGTCAAGCATTTGTTTTGGTCTAAAGAAGKGCACCGTTTCTTGTCTGAATTTCAAAGTATTTTGAATATGATGTTTGGGATAAGTCTACTAAGTGTGGTTTGTTCCATTTATTGAAGAAGGAAAATGAATGCTTTTAAAAACACTTACCATGGATATTGTTTTTATATTTTCTGCTGTTTCTGTTGGCACAAGGAGAGCTGAAATGATCCCTCTCTTGAGATTCAGGACATTCAGAGGTTCATCCTTCTCAGGATACAGCTTGACATTGTTTCCATCTTGAATGCTAAATTTTAGCTCATGCCTGACCAAAAAAAAGGCCAAGTATTAGTATGAAACCATATTAAAGCCATCAGTGAAGAACATGATATAAATAAACTGCTGCTATTGCAAAGCATCATGTTGAGCTTGGTCTGTTATTATTTACTATTCATTGTTATTTTACTAGTATTAAGTACCATTGCTATAGTGTAGGTCTTTCCCAGCAAAATCCTGGCCAAGGACATTCTGATATCACCAGGCTGTGTCATCTGGGGCAAGTAAATATCAAAAGCAATGGCTGGAAGTTGAAGTTGCACAAATTCAGAGAGGAGATAAGTAAATTTTTAGAAAGAGGTAATTATTAACTACTGCAATAGACTACAAAAAGACAGGAGGATATTTGTCTGGTTTAAATTTTTAAATAACACTTTAATTGTTTTCTGAAATACATATTTCAGCATTATCTCAATTGTTTTTTTTTTTTTTTTGAAATTTTACAGCTTGTGAAACAAAAGAGCAACTGGGTAGAGAGGTATACTGAAACCAGTATAAAGGTGCATGAGTAAAACATGCATCGACAAGGTGAGGCATGGGTTGGGTGGAGTGAGTAGTGGCAGTAAGTCACGAAAGGAGATAAGTAGGGAAAAGATAAGTTGTATAGGTCATTAAAGATCATGATAGGACTGGACTTCAGTCTCAAATGCCCTTCTATTGCACAGTCTTTGTACCAAGTCAGCAATGGAAAATAATCTTAAAAAGGCTGAAGACAGTCATTTGAGAATTTGCTTACATGAAGGAACATTCCATATGCAATAGTCTTTCAGRGGATTATACAATAGCTTCCTGATATAAATGATATAAGTGACCAAGAAATTATAGGTGAAAAGTCTGGATGGAAAAAAAAATTCCTTGGTAGTAACTGAGAGCAATGTTGTCAGGCCTAATTTATTATTAGGGAGAGTTCTGTTCTAGAATCATCTTATAAAGCTGTCATGTTAATATCAAAGGCAGGACAGACTGCAACCTCACAATCTCCTTAAATTTAACGCTACAAGTATCAGTAATGCCTCTTTTGCTTACTTGGACATAGCATTTGCAAAATCCTCAGAGTTCTTTGACTTTTTTAGCATGGCTCTTCCCTCAGTGTCAACTCCGAATGTCTCCCTCAGGGAGCAATGCATTGTCCTCAAGATGAAGTGGCATAGCTGTGGTACCTCCAGTTCAACCTGAAAACAGAAATACGATGTGTTTATCCTTTCCTCATTATCATGGTTCTCATTATCACTGTTTCTTTCCTAAAAACAGTCTTCTCTGAGTTTGTTAAGTGTCAGAGTCATGCTGACACCAGCACTTGGGAAAGATTCCAAAGTTCTCTAAGCAGCTTAAGGTAACTTGAGGAAGAAACGGTTATTAGCTTTGCTAAGGGTTATGGAATATGCAAACAAGCTATCCAGATTCTAGATCCTCATAGTACTAGAAACTCTATATGAAATTTGAGTCAGTATATTGATTTATGACTATCCGAATAGTGTGTGTTAAAAAAAAATCCAATTATTCCATTTAAAAAGAAATTATTTGAAAGTTTTGGGAAAGGTGAAAGAAGATTTTGATAGGCATACACAATAAACAGCCCCAATCCTGTCTTGACTGTCATCACCAATGGGCTATCAGTCTTCATTGACTCATTGAGCTGCCTCCGTTCAATCTCTTGAATTGTTTGATGGGCACTATTGTTTGGTAGACTCTTCCTGGGTGCCAAGTGAGGCTGAAAATCAGATCTTGCCTCTTTCTCCCTTAAAAGGTAGGTAAGTATTAAATACATGAATTCCTGTGGTGGCATGAAGAACTTAAGCCACTTTCAGTGTCTCCTGTTTGCAAAAGGAAGAGCTTAGTCTTTAAGCCTCAAAATTCCAAGGAATGGCCCTGGTGGGGAAAATACTGAAGAGCACTCCCTGTTTGCTAGCTCCAACATTAATAGGTCAACAGTCCCAGTGGGTTGTGTTTACTCCTCTTTCCTTACTTTGCAGGTGATCTTTGAACCACTCCGAGAATCAGCTGTTCCAGGGATTCCATTTGATGTTTCTGCCTCATATGAGTAAACGTATTTCTTGAGGTGTTTAAATCTGGTTGCATCTTCTGCAATTAGAAAAGCAGATGTATTTTAGTGACTTCTGTAGGATATGTCTATGTAGATCCTTACAAAACATACATAGCTAGTGTTGGTTGACTCATATGCTACATATAAAGGAAGTGTGAAGAATATCCAGATTGTTTTAGGAGAATGTATTAGGATAAGATCTGACAATATTACCCTATCTAACCTTAAAATCATGACTCAATAAAATTAATTACAAAAGCATAGATGAGAAACAAATGACACGGATATTTAGTAGATCTATTTCAAAATGACCACATTGCTTATTAATTAAGGCAAATAAATGGTAGTTTTTAAATTGCAAATAAATAAATAAATAAATAAATAATTTACTTCATTTCAGACTATTACATCATATTTCAAACAAAAATCAAGGAGTAGATTTATCTAAGTCATATGGCTAAAACTGAAAACAAATAAGCATAGAAAGGGACATAACTTAAAACCCAGTATTGCTAAGAATAAGTCAGGAGGAGGTATTTGTTGAGCTGTCTCTCTTATAATCAAAGGAAGGCTCAAAATTCAAAATGTTTTCTTCTCAAACGGATGAATGTCACCTGTATTTTTTCTGTATCTAGTGCCTCCAGAGGCATGAATTCATACAGGCATGAATGAATGTGATAATAGGGCCCTAAAGAAAAGAATAATTTTGCTCAGCACCAAATTTAGGAAAACAAGATCTTTGGTGTCTGGAACATCTAATGCAAGTCAAATAACGTTCTCAGGCAAAATTCTCTCCCATTATGTTTACAGGCATCATTTTAAACTAAAAGCAAGATTGGGCATTTTCAGTGATTGTGTTAGAACAGTTCAGTTACACAACCAGAAGTTACTGCCCTCTCTGTCCAGACTGAGCAACTCTTTSGGAATATGTCACTATTGGGATACTGAATGAACAAGCATTTTCTTAAGTTGCTCCTGTGCAGATATTTGTGACCATCTGAACAGATTTGAATGCTGATACACCTTTACAGAATATAAAGGTAAAATCATTTCCTGTAAAGGCCCGCATTTCCTGTTAGTTCCTCTGAACTTTTTGCTATCCTGAATTATACCATTATTTATCTGTGCATTCTGAGAATTTTTTACAACACCAGTATCTACAATGCTAAAACTAAATGGTTGATTATTGCTTGATTTGTTGCTTTTTAATAGAAATCATGGAAAGGGAATAGGTAAGTGGTAAAAATTAGAAATGCAAATACCAAAGAATTTGTTATATTAAACATACACAAGAAATCTGCAGAGTAACACAGAAAAGCCTTTTGAGTTGTTTTCAGCTGAAAAACTGGATTGCCTGGAGATGGTGCTAAAGTATCCAACAAGGAAAAAAACCTCTGAATATAATAAGGGCCAAAGAACAAAACAGCTCATGTCATACTTTGACCCTAGGGTAGAACATTATGTGTCTAACTAAGGCAGGTTCAGTTTCTTATAAGGATAATGTCAGCATTTCCCGAGTCTCAGCTCAGTTTTAATAAATTGCTGTTGAGTTGATTATTTATTCTACAGATATTTGGATAGATATCCAAGTGCAATGGTGTGTGTTTAGCAGCCACTGTGAAGGCTAAAGCAAAAGTGAGACTCAGCCTAAGGTAAAGTGAAATGAACATAATCTCATTGCTCAAGCTTCAGATCTGATAAATAGGGATTCCACAGTATGGAATTTGCACCTGAAAGGGCATATAAAGAAATCAACAAAAAAATAAAACGCATTTTCTGTTTCTTAAAGGGAGCTTCTCAGAAGTTTTCAACACAATCTCAACTTTTCAAATCTGAAGAAGCTCCTGAAATGCTGGATCATGGACTATTCAGTTTCTAAAATAAATGGCAATAAAAACTTCAGAATAGTGCTTTCACTTCTGTTTTGTCCATTTTAGAGGAAGAGATTTATGCAAGGGGAAAACTCAAGCTCCGAAACATATTGAGTTAATATATAAACATGGATAACAAAAGCATATGCAACAAACAACTTACTTGAACAGCCGAGGTTTCCACTTTCAGGTGTTTCTTCTTCTGTAAAGAATAAAAACAAAAATTAAAAAATGTATAAGTAGTTTATAGCTATAAAGAAGTAGTTTATAGCTACAAAGCAAAGACTATAAAATACAATTATTAATTGTATTTTATTTACTTGACTAAATTGCTTGCCAGCTTTTACTAGCCAGTTTTTACTAGCACACTGGTGTAAATGATGTAGCTGCTATTAATATTGATGCAGTGCAGGGAATAAAGGGATTTACTGTAACTGCCTTGGTATTGTGAACTAATAGTTCAGAGTAGGATCTTGAGATCTTGGAACTGAACTACTTTGATTCAAATTGAGAAGGATCAGCTTCTGTGTTAAGAGATATTTTTTAAAGCCCTGTGATGTGTCGAATAGAATGCTTATAAATGATAGACACAAAATGTAGACAGATGGAATACACTGTAAAAGACAGTTGGCTTTCCTACAAAATTTTAGTCTATTTGAACACACAGAAATACTGCATAATGGCTGAATGGTTATATTTTGTTTGTGCACTGGTAAAATGACAACTTTGATGAGTAGTAAGRCAATTTTCTGCCATTAGAGCTTCCTTGGGTTTTTTCAGTTAGACAAAATAGAAGAAATGGGAATTGGCAAGAGACAGATAAAAAACAATTAATCAATGTTGATAATTAAGACAAATATTTATTTGTTGAATCTTTTGTTTAAAATAATCAATATGCTATTCTGACAATCAGTTTGAATACTGAGAATTATACTCCTGAGGAAAAACACCCTGGAAGCTCATTCCAGTTAAGGGCAATAGGAATCATATGCTCCAACTTCTGCTCCATTTGTTTAGTTCCTATGCAATTATCTGTTTTAAATATAATATAATAACASTCTTGTCAATATATTGCACCCATTCAGTTGTATGTCAAACATGTGGAACATCACACGTGAATGGCAGCACTTCTCAGGCTTTCTAAGTCTAAACCTTTCAGATTTTCAAGTTTCCGTACTGGAAATTTTTCTGACTACTCAATACAACAACATTCATAATAATAGTTAGAAATAAATGCATACTATAAAATAGTTTAATATCAGTTCACTCAATAAAAGTACATTAGTTCAACAAAGGTGTATTTATGATAGATTTGATCTGCATATAAAACTAGACAGGTTTAGACCTGTATAGTTGGCCCCGGAGCAATTTTACCCCTTAAGATTCCTTACATAACACTGTAATATATTCTAAAAATCCTAAGAAGCAAGAAGGTAGCTCACAATCTGCTAAATTAGATTGATCCAGCCTACATCTTTTCTGATCTAAAAAAACAAATAAAAAGTCTACTGGTCTTCTACCACTACTGATGACTATCTCCCTTTAATATATAATTGTATTTCAAGTGTCATTACCAGCTGTTAAATGCATTTTATTTTACTAATCTTATTTCTTTTAYGGTTGCCACAAAATAGGTTAGTGACAGCTGAGGTAAGTCTGAACTGTAAACTACAATATCTCCACAGAAGTGAAAAGGATAACATTACAGAAAAACAATCAGGCAAAAATACATTACGAGAAAGCCTTAAAAATTTCAAAATGCATTAAAACTAATGTCAAAATACTAGTCAACACTTGCAGTCCTGCACTGGGATCCTTCTATGATTGCAGTCCTATAAAAAAGGAGAGATGTCATCTTTCTGACATTGATCTTCCTGTTTCAAATTGTCCTTGTCCTGCTCATTTTTGCATTGTTTTATTGGATTCCAGAAAAAAAAACCAAAAATCAAAAATCACTGCCATAAAAGCAGGTACTTACGTGTGAGAACACCACTGCTGAGCAGCAGCAAGAGCAGCAAGAGCTGCACAGGGCCCATGGTGAGCCCTGAACCCTCTTGCTGCTCTCCTCTCTTCGGGTAGAATGAGACTTCTGACTTGGACCCACATTTATATAGTCTGTAGCAAGCAGCTGAGGCAAACGGTTTAGAAAGCTCAGAGCAAATTGCTAAAGGTCCAAAGGTGAGAGGCCTGGATCCTCACTGTGTTCCGGACTGTGGCTCTGCTTCGGTTGCTGGGAGTCCCTGAAGGCAAAAGACTGAAAAGACTGAACATATACCAAAGATAAGTTGTTCTTCCAGGTCATTGTGCTTCTTCTGTTGTTGTTTTGTTTTTAACAATTAAAAAAMGCAAAGGGCCTCAGTTAGAGCCTAAGAACCTATTCAAATACAATTTCCACACTTCCATGACAATATTTACAAAGTATAAATTATAAATCATATCTGGAGGAAATGATCACTGCAGTATGATGTCAGCTTAGAATCACTGCAGTATGATGTCAGCTTAGAGACTGAGAAGTTTAAAGGGTTTACATACTTGAGAAAATTATACTTTTAAATTCCATTTTCTTGCTTGCTAATAACAGCAAAAATATGAAAGATAAAATTTATCCAAAGAAATGAAGACAAGGTTAATGAACAAATGAAAAATCTTTTTATGAATATATAAATTGTACAAAAAGATTGATTTTATGTCACGARAAATTCCAGTAGTTTAAATTATTTCTTAACTCATGTCTAACAATGGTAATTGCACTATGGAAATAGCTAAGAACTTTTTTTTTCAACAAATTTAATTTTCACRTATCTGATCAAAATAAAAAGTTATGACATTGCCAAATCAAAGCATTTCTACTTAGCTTGTTGAAGTAAACATTATTTTTCGGCATAGCTAGACTGTAATTTGTGTTTCTTTCAGATGTCACTATGTGTTCTTGGAGTTGTCTTTAATGTATTTCTTCACTATCCTTTCTCTCTGGGACRTCATAGTTAGGTTATACTTCCCAAGATGCACTAGAACCACGTAACTTCTGAGTAACATCTGTTCAACCAAACGGAAAGCATGGATGTAGCTCGAGATGTACTTTCCAATAAGGACCTATTTACTTCATTGTAGTTAAGATCCTGCCTGATAACATTAGTAAGAGTATTCCACTTTGGAGAGATTTCTTACAGATTTTTTTTTTCCTTTTATTAGAGGCACTGTGAAAAAAAAAAATGTACTTTTTACATTTTTCCAATTCTGTTTCTGTCTTTGGCTGACACCACATTCTAGATATGATAAATCAATTAATAAGTGATTATTTTTCACTTTTGAAAAGCAAGACAGTTGTTAACTTCTCTATCCACAGCTGCCTCAGTATGTTCGGTGATAGGTAGGAGGGATTTTACTTTGTAATGTGATCTTACCTAGCAAGAGGCTGTACAATAATGGCATTTGATCCCTCTCTGTRCTCAGATATCTATAGTTTTTGACTATTATTTAATGCATTTTAATGCATTTTTTTTTAACTTATGCACTGAAGATATAAAAAAGCTTGGAARTGCCCAGCATTCAGAGATTTATTAATTATTTCTAAATTTTACTGGTGCTCCCTCACTGCCTTCAGGTGGCTATGCAGGCTCAAACTGTGGCTGACTGATTGTATTAATATGTATAGACATAAATAGATTACAGAAATCATGACTCATTTCCAAAGCATACAAAYAACATGGGTGTAGTATATCATCATGACAAATTTCTATTGCTGCATTGCATAGCGAAGGGCCAGTAGCTTACTTCACGAAAGGTGMCACAGAATCTCATAGACTGCTTTATCTGTTCAAACACCAAGGAATTCCCATTCTCAAGGAATTATCAGTTCACTGGAACTAGTCATTAGTCACATAGAGCTAGACAATATAAAGTTTGTATTTCAAYTATTTCTGTGAAATTGTCAGTATTGACATCAGGACAGACTTCATCTTCCAGATCAGAATGTTTTAAAACATATCCCAGTGTCCTTCTTTGGTTTTCCACTTAATTTTTGCCGTCATACCCTCCTCCGAGTTTGCACTCTATATGACAAAGAGAGGTAGATGGATATCATGCAGATCTGAAAAGAGAATGTCAGATACATTAAACTTAAGAATGAAGAGCTGATGACAACACAGACATTACATCAACTCCAAAATATAAACTATTCCCTAGTGCTCTGCACTGAGATTAGCCCCAATCTTGAATATATGCTCTATGTCTCTACTCTGGACAGATCTGATCTAAAATCCTTTTACCTCAATGGGATTTCTCCAGCTGCCTTTGGATCAAGCCTTGTGAAGTGAGTCCTGCACTTACTGATTCTTTTCCATTGAGAAAATCTCTTTTTTTCTTAAGTTCACAAGACCTCTTAAGAGGGACAGTTTTTTATCTTGCTGCTCACTACAACAAGGAAGAATTAGGAAGAACTAGGTACTGCTTCATACAAGTAAGTTTGTTCACTATTCCCTTTAAAATATTTAATGATTGAAATTAARATGATCAAAAATAACGATGACATTATGTTTAGAAATGGTCTAGCATATTTCAYTTTTTTTAAAGAGAATACATTAAATTCAATATGGCCTTTATTTATGGTATATATGCAGGTCTTGATGGCCTCTACAGTTTTATTACTCAATGATTCTTTTTTTTTTATTTTCAGTACAAATCTCCATTTTTTGTCTTAGTGGTGTTTTTCCTTCTGTTGTATTTAGGGATGATCATTTGAATACCTTTAAACAGAAAACCCACCTAGTACTGAAATGTAAAGCTGAGTCAATAAACTGATAAAAGCTCTTAATTTGGTAAAAGGATTGCGCTTGGAAGTTGTGTGTTATTCATATTTTGCATTAACATTTTTTTTTGTAAGGGCTTATTTTTAAGAGTTCTGGCTTTCAGAGTCTAGGAACAACTTATTTTATCAATTTGTAATCTGCCTTCAGATTTTTTTTCTCTCTCATTTTGTCCAATGTCCCATGGAGGAAATCTGCAATATTAAATCACATGCTTGAAGCTGCCTTCCCCGCCCAGCCTTTCTACACTGTTCATTTCCCAGAGAGGCAACTGGTTTTATTTGTGCTATTTTAGCAATGCTAATAATGGCTTATATTCAGCTTTGCTAACATTGATACAAATATGGAAAGAAAAATCACTAAGCTTTCTTTAATTATATATTAAGATCAT